CCACATCGACGTAGTGTGTCCTTATTATCTGAAAAGGTTTCATGAAATTCTGTTGTGTGGTTTGAGAGGAGTTGCAATGACAAAAGGTTGCAGTAGTATATTGGGCAAATAAGTTCAAAGGGGTGAACTCCTGGAAAAAAAATTGAATCGTAATTTCCTGTCGATATGCACATCTACGTAGCAGTCCTTATTATCTGAAAAGGTTTCATGAAATTCTGTTGTGTGGTTTGAGAGGAGTTGCGATGACAAACTGTTGCAGTAGTACATTAAAGTAAATAAGTTCAAAGGGCGCAACTCCTAGAAAAAGAATTGAATCGTAATTTCCTGTCGATATGCACAACTACATAGTTTGTCCTTATTATCTAAAAAGGTTTCATGAAATTCTGTTGTGTGGTTTGAGAGGAGTTGCGATGATAAGAAACAGGACTGACGGACTGACGGACGGACAGACGGACGGACAGACGGATGGGTCAAAAACATTATACCCTCAGCAACTCGTTGCGTGGGGTATAAAAATAAGGAGGTGTGGTATAATTGCTACGAGACTAAAGTTGTTTATGTAGCAAACTCTTCCTACTGGGGTTTTTCTTGTCTTATTTAACGTGTACACATACCATGTATTGACAGAATGTAAAGAAATCTAGGTTTATAAACACTACTATGTATCATAGAAGCAATGTGAGTGGTGTTCTATTTCAATGATATTAAATGCAAAAAAATTAAATATGTTATTCAGAAGTCCTGTCAAAGTAAATGTTTTTTAGAAATGTGTTTCCAAGAAAATCCTTAAAGTAGTGATACACGGCTGCATGAACTATTAACCAGGCACTGCAAGCATCTTATAATTGGGGCTGTGATTAGAATAGAAACAACAGTAGAATAAAAACACTGTTGTAAAGGTAAAACAATTAAACTCATATTCAATACTATTACATTTTCAGCATTATACTAACCGTATAGTCCAAGACCATGACATCATCTAAGACATTTTTTCATGTTGATTGTTTTGGAAACAACTATAACCTATTACCTCAAGCAAATGTTTCACCTTCCCATGTTTGAATAATGTATTTTAACACAGGATGAAGGGCAAAGTTGCCCTATCATTAACACTGTGACATAATGTTTTCATATTTCCAGTGAGTGTTACTAAAAGCTATTCATTAACACTTCCCAATTTCAGCTGGTCACAATTTTTTTCCAGAAATTACGAAAAAATAATGAAATCTTTTCTCAGACACAGCAGGGGCAAGAGGAAACAAACATTCTTAAAATGATAGCCTCAATGATCCATGAGAAGAAGGTCAAGGTCAAATGAAATCTGCCAAACACAGACAACATGACAGATATGATGAAAGAACCTTAGTGAGCACGCTCACATACCCCACGTCCCCACATTTTCATTGGAGAAATAAAATAAGTTTAAGAAAAAGAAATTGTATCAGAAAAAAAAAATTGAATCATAATTTCCTGTCAATATGCACATCTACATAGTATGTCCTTATTATCTACACAGTTTCATGAAATTCTGTTGTGTGGTTTGAGAGGAGTTGCGATGACAAAAGGTTGCAGTAATATATTGGGCAAATAAGTTCAAAGGGGCGCAACTCCTGGAAAAAAAATTGAATCGTAATTTCCTCTCGATATGCACATCTAAGTAGTATGTCCTTATTATCTGAAAAGGTTTCACGAAATTTTGTTGTGTGGTTTGAGAGGAGTTGCGATGACAAAAGGTTGCAGTAGTATATTGGGCAAATAAGTTCAAAGGGTCGTAACTCCTAAAAACAAAATTGAATAGTAATTTCCTGTCGATATCCACATCTACGTAGTGTGTCCTTATTATCTGAAAAGGTTTCATGAAATTCTGTTGTGTGGTTTGAGAGGAGTTGCAATGACAAAAGGTTGCAGTAGTATATTGGGCAAATAAGTTCAAAGGGGCGTAACTCCTGGAAAAAAATTGAATCGTAATTTCCTGTCGATATGCACATCTACGTAGTATGTCCTTAATATCTGAAAAGGTTTCATGAAATTCTGTTGTGTGGTTTGAGAGGAGTTGCGATGACAAAAGGTTGCAGTAGTATATTGGGCAAATAAGTTCAAAGGGGCGCAACTCCTGGAAAAAAAATTGAATCGTAATTTCCTGTCAATATGCACAACTACATAGTATGTCCTTATTATCTAAAAAGGTTTTGTGAAATTCTGTTGTGTGGTTTGAGAGGAGTTGCAATGACAAGAAACAGGACTGATGGACTGACGGACGGACAGACGGACGGACGAACAGACGGACGGACGGGTCAAAAACATTATACCCTCCGCAACTCGTTGCGTGGGGTATAAAAAATTATCAGGTAAGTAGACCTTACAATCTTTCCATACACCAAATATAATTGACTCTCTCTGAAAAACAGATGTCAGATGAACCCTGCCAGACAGACACTTACAACTTAGAATAATTATTCCATACACCTAATATATATGACCTCATCGTCACCTATTGGTCATGATATCTAAAAGACCTTATCACAAAGCCGTAATGTTGACAATGATGGCAATGAACCATGAAATGAGGTCAAGATTAGATGAATCCTGCCAAACAGACATGTTTATTTTGCAATCCTTCTACAAAATGTTTATACCAAAAATTATTGACCTACGGTTTATTGGTTCTGAGAAAAAGACTTAATCAAGAAAACTAGATGTTGACCAATGAGTTCAACCCAGATGAAACCACCAAACAGACATTTTTACCTTATAATCATTCCATGCACCAAATATAGCTGAACAATTGATTATTGTATCTGAGAAAGGACCTCATCAATAAAACTTTACGCTGACCAATGAACCATGAAAATAAAGTGGAGGTCAGATGAACCCTACTTTATGAACATGAACACAAAGCAATTATTCAATATACCTGTAACCAATATAGTTTACCTATCGCATTATAACTACAGTATCTGAGAAACAGAGCTAATAGTGAAAACTTAGTGTTGACCAATGAACAATGAAAATGAGGTCAAGGTCATATAAACCTTGTCTGACAGACATGTACACTTTACAATCATTCCATACAACAATTACCTATTGTTAATTGTAGTACACAAATGTATTTGAGAAACAGACCTAATCAAGAAAACTTGATTTTGACCAATGAACCATCAAAACTAAGATCAAGGTAAGATGAACCCTACAAGAGAAACCCCTTCCCCCCCAAAAAAAAAAATCCTATCTTTATCAATTAGATGGCTCAATATAGATGTCATTCTTAAACAAAATGAGCATTAATTAGGACATTGTCAAACAAAAACAAAACTAACAACCTACTAAATGACACTGCTGATTGTAAAAGTTGTCAGAAAGCTAAAACAAAAGGCTTTATATAAAACAAAGGGACAAAAATGGCACAAGTGGTGAGAGCATCACAAAACTAGAGGATCCTAAGAGTCTACATGGCTCACCAGACATTTTACATGAAACTTATACAATGCAGCAAGAATATTTGTGTTGAATGGAAACTGTATGGTCCAAATTCCTATTTTACTGACAGATTTTTTGTCTAAACATAATAGTTGTCAAGATCATACATAAAAATGGGTTAAAATTGTTTTGGGGCAACATTCAGCAGCTTTTCTAATTACTATTTTAAAAGAAGAGATTTCCAAGGCAGGAATACATTTAACCCCACCTGGTAACATCATTCTAACTTGGAGAAACCAGTCTTTTCTCCTACTATTAAATTTCAAATGCAATGAGTTTATATTGGATAATCAGCAAATAATAATTTCAAATTTTGTTGTTTTGACTCTTCAAGAGATACATTCCACAATCTCCTTTAGACAGTCCCAACTGCAAGATTATACACAATGAACTAGCATTAGTTAATTTACCTGTTAGGTAATGAAGAGTAAAGAAGATTTGTAGAAAAAAGTGAATGTGGATAAGGTTTTCAAAAAAATATAGATCCTGTGCCAATATTTTACTTACAAGCCAGTAAAAACAATTTAATTTGCTGTCTGATCTGAAGACCTTTTCCAGATACTAAGAATTGGTTGAAATGACACATAGCTTCAAAATTTGAATTCAGAAATTCCATTGGTAGTACTAGTAGTAATGATTATCAGAAGAAAAAGTAGAATGGCTCATTGTCAGATCCTTGTAGGGAAGCAAGGATACAGGTTCTTTATTTCAACCGGACTGAAAATTTTAAATGTACAATGAATCTGTGGTATTGAAGCACATCTTTCCTTAAAGGGGCATTAGCTACGAGATATAAAAAAAATAAAATATGTGATTTTTTTTTTGTTCAATCATTAATGAAAGTGAAATAGTGAAATAGTAATTTGCTTTCAGCAGCCAGTTTAGTTCAATATTGTCAAAATATGCTAAGAAACATCGCTGATGAATTATTCACTTGCAAGTGAATAATACAACCTCATTGAATCCGTATTCATGTGACCTTCAATTTAACCTATTAGCTAGGGATTGGTTACGCATGTTTTAGTCGTGATCAGCCATTAAAGGAAAAGAATGTCAACATTGAAAGTGAAACAAAGGTGAACCATTTCGTTGACTGATTCAATCCACCAAACATCATCAGGCAAAAACGATGATTAAGTTATTTTTTTAACCTATAACATGAAATCAAATAGACCTAGAAAAGTCCAATTGCACGAGGTCGCTATCTATTTACATTTATGTTTATGTTTATGTTTATGTTGGGTTATGTGACCGTCGGCAGTCTTTTAGAGGTCATGTCAATGGTTAATTAGATGGCATCTAGACTAAAATACACACGAAATGCTGATATATGTTATTGAACCTATGCATTGTTAATTGTTTATTTCAGACTTATTGTAATTTGGATAAAAGTTTTAGTATGTTATAAATCAAATATGAGAATTTTAGTCAAATTGGTCAACATGAATTTGACAGCTAATGCCCCTTTAAAAACAAATCTTTATTCTGTATGGTCAATATTGAAGATAAAAAAAGTGTATTACCTTTGAAGATATAACTCTGTTGTCAGGATATTTGTGAGGAACAACTACTTCTACATGTTCTCCAGGCAGACGTTTGCTTCCTACGTACACAGTCCTATCACCTTGTATTGCTTTCTTCTTACATTTACTCTACAAAAAATTAGCAGCAAGTTTAGTTCAATTTATAAATAATTTGTCACATTAAAAATAGTTAATTCTATATATAAAAATCATAAATTAAACATGTTAAAATGAGATCTAATTTGTAAGACATCTTTTCACTTGCTTGAACATCTCTGTTTTTATGTCATTAATGTAGGAATAACAAAAATCTTTTTTCTTCATCATGCTCATCTTGTAAAAATATGTAAGTCACACACATCCTTCACTTTCTTTCGGAGTGGTATCACTTTAATCCCTTTCATTAATAACAATAAATTAATTCTATCCATGCAATAAAAAATCAAATATAATATCAAATGAAAATGATTTCATTGCTTTTCATCTTTACAGTTACCGGTACTAATAAGTAACCAGTTTCTTCAAGCTTTCAGAAAGCAAAGCAAAACACGACTTGCATGCAATGAAAACAGATTGGACAAGACCAGGTGCCAGTTTGTTCTCAATAATTCTGGAGTATGAATAAAAGAGATGAAGGTCATACATTGTATTTCAATGAGACAGCTACCCTATGACAAATAAAAACCAAACGATAACTATTTTTTAAATTTTCTGTTCAGTTATGTATTATGTTTATATCAAAATAAGGTCAATTTCAATCTCTTTATAAATTTTTCGACAAGTTTGTTTTGAATATATTTTTTTTTTAATTCACTTTTGGGTGTTATTCATAATCTTATTTTAAATTTTTGTTTATCTTATTCTGATAAACCACCTTACAACAAATATTTTCTTAAAGATTACTAATATGCTTTTTAGTGAAGATATGGATATCTATAAATCAGAGGTCCAAATAAAACTGGATCACCATGACACATGTATATATACATTTATCATAAACTTAAATGATACACTAAATACATTTGTGTGTAGAACCACTAAATCTGATATAAACAGAACCAGTAGGGGTCTTTTAGATAGAGGTTTTACTACAGGTATAATCACATAAAATTAACTTTATCAATGATCTATGAAAAGTAGGTCAAGGTCAGATGAAGCCAGCCAGATGGACATGTACACCTTGCAATTATACCATAGGCATACACCAACACACCAAACATCGTTGACCTATTCTTGCTTATAGTATCTGAGAAAAGGACCTACATGAAACCATGAAAACATAACAATGATCAAAGAATCACGAAAATGAGGTTAAGGTCAGATGAACCCTTCAAGACAGAAATGAATATCTAGCAATGATTCTATGTACCAAATATAATTGCCCTATCTCCATAATAAGTGAGAAAAAAAAAGTTTTGAAGCAGTGACTGAACCATGAAAATGAGGGTCAATGACAAAGTTCACCTGCCAGATAGAAACTTCTTAACATTAGCTATCTGAATACAAGATATGGTTGTATCATGGTCTTTTAACTACTGAAATATTAAGCTTTAAACAAATAGTTTATGCTGTCGCAACCACCATCAACGCCAGGTAAGTATCCCTACATGTAAGTCTTGTATTCTGCGATATTAGCATGATTAGTCTCTAAAAACTAACAACTTCTCAAAACAGCAGAACCCCTAATCAAAAATTACAAAACAAGATTGGACCACAACCAATCAAAAGTTCCAAATACATAAAAATAAAGCGGACGATGAAAAGCATGATTTGCCCCGAGGTTTCGCCCCAAGCTTGTAAAATATAAAAATCAAATATATTCTTTATTATAAAACTTGTATATATGGTGAACCAAAACCTGAAGTGGTAATCGTGCCACGGGTTGGGTAATAGTGGGTTATTATAAAAGTTTAATAACCAAAATTTAAGTTTTTTAAGAATAAAAAAGTAGAGTTTTGTTTTAAAATATGTGAAATAAAGTTTAAATGTTCTAAAATTTCAGTCTTTAGCAAAACACATACTGCATAGTCAGCTATAAAAGGCCCCGAAATGACAAATCTAAAACAATTCAAACAAGAAAACTAGCAGCCTGATTTGTACAAAACAATGACAAATAACAAATGTGATATGTAGCAATAAACAACAACCACTGAATTACAGGCTCCTGACTTGGGACATGCACATACAGAATGTGGCTGGGTTAAACTAGTGTGTTGGCACCAACCCATCCCCCAATCCCCCTAACCTGGGACAGTGGTGTAACAGTACAACAAAAGAACAAACTATAACTAGAGGCTCTCAAGAGCCTGTGTCGCTCAATATTGGCCCTGTAATCTAATAAAAAATCCTGGTGGCCATCTTGAACAGTAAATCAGCAACAAAGTAGCAACACTTCATCAGCACCTCATAAGAAACATTTATGCCATGTTTGGTTTCATTCCATTCAGTGCACCTCTAGAAGAAGCATTTGTATGTATTTCCAATAGGGTCTTATGTTAAAGGAATTCCCCCCGTTGGCGGCCATCTTGGATGAAGGATCAGCTTCAAAGTAACAACAATTAGTCAGCACCTCATAAGGAACATTCATGCCATGTTTGGTTTCAATCCATTCAGTGGTTCTCTAAAAGAAGACATTTGTATGTATTGTCCATAGGGTCCTTTGTTAAACACTGTCCCCAGCTGGTGGCCATTTTGGATGATGGATAGGCTTCAAAGTAACAACACTTGGTCAGCACTTAATAAGGAACATTCATGCCATGTTTGATTTCATTCCATTCAGTGGTTCTTTAAAAGAAGACATTTGTATGTATTTCCCATAGGGTCCTATGTTAAACTAAGTCCCCCGCTGGCGGCCATCTTGGATGATGGATCGGCTTCAAAGTAACAACACTTGGTCAGCACCTCATAAGGAACATTCATGCCATGTTTGGTTTCATTCCATTTAGTGGTTCTCTAAAAGAAGACATTTGTAAATATTTCCCATAGGGTCCTATGTTAAACTAAGTCCCCCGCTGGCGGCCATCTTGGATGATGGATCGGCTTCAAAGTAACAACACTTGGTCAGCACCTCATAAGGAACATTCATGCCATGTTTGGTTTCATTCCATTAAGTGGTTCTCTAAAAGAAGACATTGTAAATATTTCCCATAGGGTCCTATGTTAAACTAAGTCCCCCGCTGGCGGCCATCTTGGATGATGGATCGGCTTCAAAGTAACAACACTTGGTCAGCACTTCATAAGGAACATTCATGCCATGTTTGGTTTCATTCCATTCAGTGGTTCTCTAAAAGAAGACATTTGTATGTATTTCCCATAGGGTCCTATGTTAAACTAAGTCCCCCGCTGACGGCCATTTTGGATGATGGATCAGCTTCAAAGTAACAACACTTGGTCAGCACCTTATAAGGAACATTCATGCCATGTTTGGTTTCATTCCATTCAGTGGTTCTCTAGAAGAAGTTCAAAATGTAAAAGTTACACGACGACGACGGACACAAAGTGATGAGAAAAGCTCACTTCGGGCCAGGTGAGCTAAAAATCAGTTGAAAAGGGCTTAACTCATCAGATCAAACCAAAGCAGAAAAACAAAAACACAGACTGGAAGTGGCAGGGTATTTATACAAATAAAAAAGAAGATTTGGTATGATTGCCAATGAGACAACTCTCCACAAGAGACCGAATGACTCAGAAATTAACAACTATAGGTCACCGTACGGCCTTCAACAATGAGCAAAGCCCATACAGCACAGTCAGCTATAAAAGGTCCTGAAATGACAATGTAAAACAATTCAAACGAGAAAACTAACGGCCTAATTTATGTATAAAAATTGAAAGAATAAAAAATATGTAACACATAAACAAACGACTACCACTGAATTACATCCCCATATAAAAAAAGACACTAGATGATTTATTCACTGTAATTGATTTATTTAGCTTCTATTGTCATTGCATGCTTTAGTTTTGAAACAATGAAAATGGTAACTAAAGATTTGACAGCTTAACCTTATCAATTATTTGTTAATTTGATGTCGGAATAAAAGAGATGCCTAATCAATTGAATTAAATACACATTATTGCTATTTGTCTGCAGAAATAGGATTTCACAGACATTCACATAAAATTTGACTTCATCATGTACATAAGTCATGAAAGTGAAAATGTATGACGCTGCAAAGCAAGAGGGATTGATGTATGATGTCAAAAGTTCTTGTAGCAATTTCTCAGGTCAAGTCTTACAGATTCCAAAATAGCAATAAGGTCTATTAGTTACTCATGGAAGCAAGTCAACTCGTACTACTAACAGTCAGTTGATACCAATATTAACACGTACCACTGCAAACTTGTACCATATACAATATACGAATGTTTTATGACTTGTTTTTGCAAATCTTTATAAAAAAATCATTCATTTCACTGATTTTTTTTATTAAAAAAATATACAACATACAAATTTTAAATGAATTGTTTTTGCAAATCTTTAACAGTATATACAGTTTATTGATTTTCTTGAATTTCTAAATTACAAGTATCAAAGAATTAAATTGTATTGTTTTTTATCATTACAATTACTTTCTATTACTATGTGATATTGAAAACATTTTAATATTCATCATGTTATAGTTTTGGTATATATGTTATACATGTTATACAGATATTGATGAAATTGTAAAATAAATATCCTGTGTAATATATGATATTTTGTTGTTTTTATACATTGTATTAGCCAATTCAAGGACCAATCAGGTACAAATTGGTTATTGTGACTTTCAAATAAAATACTTTTATACACTTCTGATTTATTCAGTCAAATTAAAATATATATTCAACTTTAAACACCACTGATGATGATTTGAGTGCATTTAAAAAAGTTGGTATGAGATTGCAAGGATACGAATTTACGAACTTACGTGATATGAGTTTACAGAGGTGAGCCTCCTCATGGGGGTTTTGATTATGTGATTACTTGGCTGTTTTTATAGTGATTATTTGATTACCAAAACAAATATTTCATGATTATTCGATTATTTGATAATCTAGGACGGTATTTTTGATTATTTGATTATCTTGTTTTAAAAAAATAATTAATGATTATGTGATTATATTGGCAAAAAATTTGTGATTATGTGATAACTTGGACTACCCCATGAGGGGCCTCATAGGTACAAGTTTGCTACAGTGGTATATCGAAATGCAAACTGGAATAGGGCTAAGCCATCTGATTCCCAACTAGCAGTATTGATTGAAAATTTTAAAAACAATATCTTACACTGAAAAGTATCCCATATTTGACTGATACCGGCAGTTACTTTATCTGGTGGACTTTTTGAAGTTTTTCATATTTTGTGAATTTTTCATACTTATTAGTTATTAAAAATATTGGATTCCGACTTTGTTGTTCATAACTATAAACAGCGTGGTACTTACAAAGCAATCGTTCATTCTTTAACGTAACACCCGCACCCATGTAAATACTTTAATGTCCAAAATATAAATACACCTCTAGCCTACATTGGGCTTTCCACATCTAAAGGTAAACAACACATTTTTGATACGTCCTGTTTCACTTTCACTTCGTGACAACTTATGTAGAAGTATCGAGAGAACTCCCGAACGAACAGAGACGTCTGCATTGGGGACTGTTTCAAAACACCAAATACTCAGTATCCCTCTCTACCATACATTTTAATTACAGACATTATACTAGATGGTTACGACTTTACTCAATTAGTTGCAGAACCCACAAAGAGACAGAAACATCTTGGATCTTATAGTTACAAACCATCCATCTAGTTTCTGTAGGCCTGAGATCATACCAGGTATATTAGATCACGACATAGTATCATGATTATGAAATAGATTACACCAAAATCCCAGCCAGATACCATTACATGGCAAAGCAAAATGGGAGAATGCACGGTAAGAAGGCATCAAGGCCATCCATCACTCATAATTAGATATGACAAAGGATCAACATTATAAAGAAAGGAAGGTAAGTCAGTGGACAGCATGTGGAAAATATTCAGGCCAGAAAAGGTTAGAGGAAAGTATCACATTTAGAACAAAATTCCTCATAAAACAGCAGAGTATATATGGATGCCTGTGGCTAAGTAGAGACTTGAAACAAGTCATCAAAAATCGGGAGTTACTGGATGGTTCAAACAAAAAAAGAAATCTTGGAACCACGAGTATGCGGGAGGAGGTGATTCCAAAAACTTATTCATCAATCAACAAACTAAAGCATTTCTACTGAATTGTTCACTAATTATTAGCCTGGATATCATTCTCACCACAAGTATTCACAATTCTTTGTATCTAGAATTATATTTATAAAAGATGGAACTTTTTTCACTAATTCAGAAAGTTATTGTTCTATAATTATTGTGTTAAGTTTTGAATATTTTAGTTTGAAATGAAAATCGTCTCCTACTTCTAAAAGACATAATTAAGGAACACTCTCTTCTGAAATAAGTTTTTTAATAGTCCGACCTTGTTTAGTATACAAATTTACTTAACCTTTTAACAAAATTTCCTGTTATCTTTTTGTCTATATGTTCAACATTAAGGAGAATTCTAAACTGCAATGTCTTTTGAGAGCTCTCTCTATATGTTCTTAGCGTTTTGCAATTCAGTTATTTCTTATCACAAAAAATATTTAAAAAACACAAAAAAACCCATCTTCTTTGCAATAGTTTAAATCTGGTATGAATTGCATACAATAAATGTGCCTTTCTTAAAAGCGAACATGTGGGAAATTAAATGTAGCAAATATAGATATCATATCTTTCTTGTAACCCATTGGGTAATTGCATGTTTGAATTATATACATCCCTAAGAAAAGAACCTAGTCAGATTTTGTCACCTGCGACCAGAAGCCAATTTACAATTTTAGTAATTCTATGAAAACAGGATACACATACAGTTTACCTAGCAATGCTAAACACAGCTGTTTAATTAGTTCCAATTAAATTTTTTTTCTGAATTCGAATACCGATATTTTGATTCAAGATTTGTAATATCTTTATATTAGGAGACCAAGCTTCACTTCTATAAAGAAGAATACAACCATTTAAAAAGTTTTAGGTGAGATAATAAATTAAAGTCATATATGATGCTTCAAGTTTTATAACAAGTTGCATATGTTTTATATATTTTAATGGCTATAGTTTTACTATAAAACACGTGTGCGTGGACAGGAACATATATATTGACATACTGTTCCCAGGCGTGGACTTTTCCTTTCAAAAGACAATCCTTTATCTTATCAACATCTTCAGAAATTTACTGCTATTGAATTATTGTCTTTCCGAACTGTTATTCGTCGATAGCTTTTCCCTATGCAGTGACCTTAACCACGAGACCTCTCGTTAGTACTTCGGCAATCCGGCACGGCGCAAATGTGAGGGAAAAACCGTGACGAAAGAAAAGGTAAACATACCACATCATTTAACAACTGTTATGACCAATTTAATTGACAAATAGAAACGCCTGAAAAAAAAAACCAACCAAACATCGCTCTATATATACATTGCATGTCTATCGTCTCACTTATTTTTCACGTGCTCCATTAATCTGTGTTGATTGTTTATTAAGGTCACGTTCGGTCAACTTCGGCAACAGACCACTAACGTTGATAAACAGGCAAGGTTTTCTCTATGAATTATTTTTTTTTGTCGATTATATGTTATGGATTCGTAATAAATTTTACAAAAAACGTGCATAGAGGTAGTCTAGCATATACACATGCATTGGTTCAAAAATTTCCTTCACATTATAATTTCAAGAAACTCGTTTCATATTACTTTTTCATACCTTCAGAAATAAAAATGTTCTCATACAAAATATAACTTTTGAGGCTTTGGTATATGTAACTACGCTTTCCAATTTTTAGAAAATTAAATACACGTAAAAAGAACCGTTCAAAATGTATCATAAGATCGCACGTTAATTTCGCCCAAAAAGCAAAAAACATGTTCTCAAATTGCCTAGTCTGGAAACCCTGTCATGCAATTTTGTTCTGAAAATAAATATATTTGTTTGCCTTTTTCTGTGCTTATATGTATTACCTGTTACCTAATTTATTTTTATATTGCAAAAGCTTGGCTTAGATTTTTTAAATGAGGGAAGCGCTAATTTTGATATAAGGATGCAATGTATTTCCAATTATGAAATGTAGAAGCCTCAGCTTCGAAGAACTATCACTGAAATAAACGACAGATTTTTTGTTATAAGTAGATACAAAATACAAAATTCTTTATTCAAGTCGGACTCTTTGAAACATTGAAAAAAAAATTCACAAATAAGAGCTAGTAAACAAATACCAGGCTTTACACAACTAATATATGAAGAGCGATTACGAAAATTGAAATTACCAACTTTAGCTAATCGTATAACATATGACATCGCATTTTTAATGTTTACAGTTTTAAATTGATATTTTCATTTTTTCATTTGTTTTGGAATGCGACACAGAAGGCAAATAGAAATAACAAATAGCTAAATTAATAAAAAAAGATTATCGCCCCCGAGGTCATATGTTAATTGACTACAACTTTAGCATACAGAAAATCAAGAGGAGATACGATTGAGCTCTAACCTTACCGGTATAAGTATGATGAAGACGTATCCAATTTTTTTAGAACTAGAGAAGATTCAACAATAAGAGGCCACAAATATAAGTTGTACAAGACACCACATTCAAGACTTGGTATCAGAAAACATTCATTCACACAAAGTACTGTTGAAATATGGAACAACCTACCATCCTCAGTTGTAATCACACTATTTATCAGATCATTTGAATGAAGGTTAGTTAAATTCTGGGAAAATCAACCACGAAAATATGACTATACTCATGCAATTGTTATTTATTATAACACGACCGGATATCTTCATCAAGATGCACTTCATCATGGAACCAGTCAAGTTGTTCTCAGAAACTGTAAGAGATTCCCATCTTCAAGGACGTGACATCGTATATACAATCAATATCAAGATCAAGACCGGACACGACATTATTGTGTATAAAGTTCAGACGAGGAGCTGCATGAAAAGTAAAATTTATTAATCATTAAAAACAGCTGACAATATAGTAGTACACATATAAATTATATACAGAAAATTGAAAGAAGGCGAAAGACAAACTAGTTCACAAAACACTACATAGAAAACTAAAGACCTTGAAACAATTCAAATGAGAAAAACCAACTGCCTGATATATGTTTTCTTCGTAAGAATTTTAATTAGTTCCGCACGTTTTAAGGACAAGGTCCCTAATATGTATTGGCTACACAAACAATACAAAACCCCGTCAAATATCGTGTTATACCAGCTTCTAGTAAGTGATATTTTTGCTTTAAATAAATACTAAAGAATTGTCTAATTATATACTTACTATATTTATCCCAAGAACTTTACTATATAAATTTAATACAAATAGAAACGACTGTCATTGTCTTTTTCTTGATTGATATTTCAGTTTCACACGTGAAACTCTATACTACTATTTACGACAAGAGACCATTTTTCGTTCCCTATTGTTAATATTGTTTTTTTGGGACGGCGATATTCCTTTTGACCCTTTGTACGGTGTGTATATTTTCTGACACGTTCGCGAAGTCCGTGTTTGCAGTGATGATCATATATCCTTGGTAAATTCATATCATCTTACTACTGAGTAACAGTCAAAACTGAGTGTTGGAAGAATGCTGTATATTGCACGCTTTCGTGATTAGATAAACGGCAGGAAATAGCAATCCAGTGCTTAAATCTGTTGAATCAGAGACAGCTTTTTAGATTATGATTATATTGACCTGTTCATGTTACTCATTTTACATCCATTCCGTGAATGAGCAGATCCGTACAAAACTTGAGTAACCTGAATATGTGTCTTTTTAGAGTGCATAAATCAATTATAAAATCTTGTTTGGTTTATCTATTTTGAATGATATGCTGCCCTAATCGCGATACCATAATTGAATTGATGAAATATGTCTGTCTGTCTGTCTGTCTGTCTAAGAAAAAGAAGAAGAAGAAGAAGAAGAAGAAGAAGAAGAAGACAATTAAAGGCTCCGATGTACATAATCATTTCATTTGACATGTCAATAACATCAATAATTTGAGATTAAAACAAATAACGTTCATTATCAAAGTACTGACGTACTGTTTACTCGGATGAACGCACCTCCATGTAGACTACTGGCAGTTGCTTTTTCAAGTCGGGTGTCAAACATTTATTTCACATTAAGACGTTAACATACTAGTATTCTTCGTTTAATCAATTGGCTAGGTTATGTGGGCACAGTGGGCCGAAAGGGACAACAGAAAAAAGTTAAATGTGTTTTGCACTGCCAGAAGATTTGATAATGCATTCAATGAATTTTCGAATTTCGATCAGAAGTGGTTGTGTATAAAAAGACACCATTCCCCAATACGAGACTGGAGAAGTTTATGTGACTTTAATTCTATATTCATGTGACCCTTGCTTGTGTAAACAGTATGCGTTGGTTGTCCTTTTCCTTAAACCTTCACAGCGTAGACCATTTTTTGTTCTTTGATTAGTTTTAAATAGTTC